AATGAGGCAGTGTTCTAACCACGGTCTAACATCATCCAGTAGGACGATAAAGAAATGATACCCAAGAATCCTTCTGCAACGACGGAAGCCAAATGGTCGGCTGCAAAGTTCACTTCGCGGAATACATGATTTACCTTGAGAATCAACTCTCGGCCAAGGAGCTCTTTAATACCCAGAATGAGCCCTGCGTGCACCCTTGGTACCTCGTCGAACGTCCTAGAAAATCTCACGACATTCTCATTACCCACTTCAGCTTCAACTCGTCTAAACCCCAAGTCCCATACCAGAGTAAGGCCCCGGAATAATCCCCATAACTCCGTCTCCATTATCGAGCATAACCCGATTTTCATTGAGAAGCCCCCTAAACAATGGCCTTGCTCGTCCCGGATGAGTCCTCCCGCACAACCCACACATGAAGTGCCATTAAAGGAGCCATCCGAGTTCAGTTTCACCCATCCCGACGGAGGCATTTCCCATCGAATCCACCTAGGTACTCTCATGCAGCTAGTCACCCCAAGTTGTCTATCCCCATCCAACACCTTCTTTAGCCCAGTGATATAACCATTTATCTCGTTTAATCCATCAAACACATCCATCGTTAGTCCCTGGAAGAGAAATTCATTTCGCCACCTTCAGAGCTTCCGCACCACCACTCCGAAAGTGCACTCCCAAGTTGGACACATCAATGTTCAATGAATTCACCAAATTAAACCATAACCACGACTCTAGGCTTAAAGGGAAGACATCAGCGTGAAAATTACCTGGGAGCAGACGTCTCCAAATCCCCTTCGCTACTGAACAGTCACGTATAACATGCAGCGCCGACTCCTTAGCTTGGCCACACCTCTCGCAGAGCTTATAGTTCGCCAAATCGAAAACTGAATTTTTTTATTTACCCAAACCGAACCGCACCGAAACATGTAGAAAAATCGAATCGAAACCGCACCGAAATTTTCGGTTTGGTGCGGTGCGATTTTAGTTAACCGCAATTTTTTTTTTAAAACAAAAGAACACCCAAAATAAAATGAAGCTACATCATCATCATTTAATATGCAACATTACAAAACCAAAAGTCCAAATTTGAACTGAAAGTGAAAAACTAAGGCAAGAAATTAGATTTTAATGTAATGTTATTAATTTTAATTGGTATTGTTATTATTTATTACTTTACTTATTTATTCTTAATATTAGTCATCCCAAACCAAATGCCCAAAATGAGCATGTATATGTACCACACAAACATGTTAACATATTTCATATTTGTAAAAAAAAATAAAAAAATGTATGCGGTGCGGTTAGGTTTAAACCGCATCATTCGGACAAAAAACCGAACTGCACTAAAATTTGTGCGGTTTTTTTTAAAGTTTTAACCGCACCGAAAACTGAACTTTAAAAAACCGAACCGAACCGCACCAAATACATCGGTTTGGTTCGGTTTTTTGGTTTCGGTTCGGTTTTGCTTACCCCTAGACGTCGTTTCCTTTCTATATTAGTCAGCAGACGATCCTTCGGAAGGAGCCATAAAAGGTGTCTGATTTTCTGAGGCCCCGACCATCTCCATACAGCTCGCCATAATCGACGGGAACAAGAAAAATCGTCTCCAGCTAACAAGGCATAAACGAATTTAGTGGTGAACTTACCTGTATCCAAGTGGAGTCTTCTAAATTTAAAATCTATATACATATAATTTCTAGCAACAAATTTAATAAAACTCTTCAAATTTTTTCTATTTACCGTCACTTTGCATTAATTAAGTATATAGTTTATTTATTTATTTTATTATATAACATTTACTATTAACAAATCATAAAGTCACATTAAATGATACTCTAACTTATTTTTCTATTTCAAACTATTATTTAAAACTACTAATTCTTTTTATATTTCAACTCATTAAGCGAGTTTTCTTATGATTTAACCATACCATTTAAAGTTTCGTACACAATTGTTATAATAATATTTTAATATTATTTTATCTAATCAATTATTCATCATCAACAAAGATTGCAAAAATTATATTATTGCAATCGATAAAAAGACTAATATGTAAGTTAATAGTTCATATTATATCGTTCATTTTTATCACTGATAGAAATTAAAAAAAATGTGATATGCTCGTTATCTAACATTATGATTTTAAATGTTACATATACACAAATGTAACCTATAAAATTTTATTTACATCTGTCCACCGTGCACGAGATCGAGGTAATATATATTTAATTATACTCATTATTATGCTATTTAAATTTTACTATATAGAATTGATGGTCACTTATTAACGTTCATCCTTTCAAATTCAAAACGCTGGCATACA